TCTTGCTGGGCTATTACGGTAGCCAAAAGAGCAAAAACATCCGGAGGAAGTAAGTCCTCACTGCCTCCAACTTATGAGAGAGTGTCAAAGCAATAGATTGAGGGGGCTGTACGCACACGTCAGGATAACTTTGGATTACAGTCCCTTTAGCGGACATGTCTCTCCGCTGTGTAGAACAACTTAGTCACCACACGGAGACAACTGCAGTGACAATTCTTCCTCACCTGGGATACATGAAGCACAGCCGCAAGATTCACATCAAGAGACCTACAAATAAATCAAATTTGAAAGTTATAATGGTTGCAGCCCAGGCCAGAGAGTTGTTGTTCTGGGAGACAGCAGAGGACAAGTGCTGCCGGTATCTTGGAAACACTGGCGATACTCCAGAACATGGACAGAAATGCCAAGCTGACTGGCTAGCCGGAATGATGAGTCTTTCAGCAATAAACCATTCACTGGATGTAAGCTATTTAGGGGGGGGCGGGGGAGGTGCACTTCTGCATCAACACATGTTGAGCAGGACTCTGTTCTTTAGCAGACTAATGTAGTTCCTCTATTAAAGTTTAAATAGGGGACCCTGGACCTCAGCCAGTGACTCTTCTCAAGTCAGTCGAGCCCTTCACATGGTTTTAAAATAGCAAATCTGCTATAAGGTGGGTAGAAGCAGCTTTTCTTCTATTTGCCACATAGTTCTTCCTTGGTCAGGGTTTTACCTGCTAGTTCTGCAGAACGGTCTTGGTAGAATCCACACATTTTATGTTCTAGTCACAAATGAATCCGTTATTGTAGCCCCTTCTTAACGTAGAGACAAAGCATGACCCATCTTCTCAGAAGGAAGTAGACTCACCATATCCTGTATCCTAAAGCTTACCCCTTTTTCTGAACTATGGATCTTTTCAGAGAAAAATATGGTTTTGCAGTATGCAAATTTAATTTCCCACCATGCTGGTTTTATACCACCTTACCTGGCTTTGTCTTCTCGCTATCTGAATTATCAACAACTGCCTTTCAAGTTAACAGAGACAGAGTGGGAGCTGGACTGGAAGCTCTGAGCTTGGTGAACAGCAGAAGGCACTCTTCTCTCCCTGCAGGCTGGATGGTGCGTGCAACACCACCACCATCCAGGAGAGGAAATGGCAGGTTCTGGCTACTCGGTGTGGAATAGCGTCAGTGCTTTTTTTTTACTGGGTTTTCTTCTGATGTTTACGGGGCGAAAGGTGATTATGTAAAGGATGAGAGCACAGTAAAGAAAAGAAAGCAGATATAAGCAGTAACACTCAACAAACCATGGAGAAAGTGAACGTTCGGCATTTCTAAAAGCACGTGTGTCCGTCTGGTGCCTCTGCACCAGCTGCTCCCTTCGCAAGAGGCACCCGTTTCTGGAGAGCCTTGACACCATTTTTGTCGTTTG